GACTGGCTGCAGAAGCCGCCATTCCAGGTGTGTGCTCCTTCCTGCACTGATCCTGGACCCTTGTGGTGGCCCTTGCCCCTGTCCCACCTGTAATGTTTGAAGAGAACATCTCGGTGTCACAAAGTGAGAGTAACCAGGCAAGGCGATTTCTTTTTGTAAAAGGGATACACGGTGACCCAAGCCTGCTAGCAAGCACATGGGGGAGTTCACTTAGTTCTTGTTCTAACACAGGAGGTGTCTGCGTCTCCAGGGAACCTGATCAGAGTCTTTTGAGCTTTGCCACTTTTGAAAGAGTTGATGCAAACAAAGGAAAGGGGGGAGGGATGGGTTGCTGCCGGCTATCAAGTTCCAGGAATTAGGGGCAGGGTGCTTTTCTTTTCTTTTTTATTATCATTATTTCGGATTTTTTTTTGTTTTTGTTTTGTTTTGGTTTTGGTTTTTCGAAGCAGGGTTTCTCTGTGGCTTTGGAGGCTGTCCTGGAACTAGCTCTTGTAGACCAGGCTGGCCTTGAACTCACAGAGATCCGCCTGCCTCTGCCTCCCAAGTGCTGGGATTAAAGGCGTGCGCCACCAACGCCCGGCTATTATTTCGGTTTTTTGAGACAGGGTTTCTCTGTAGCTTTGGAGGCTGTCCTGGCACTTGCTCTGTAGACCAGGCTGGCCTGGAACTCACAGAGATCCGCCTGCCTCTGCCTTCCGAGTGCTGGGATTAAAGGCGTGCATGGTGCTTTTAATTAAAAAAAATTTTTAAACCAGATCAGGGATGCTAAAAAATTTGCATGGAATTTTTATCAAGTAGAAGAAATGAAAAGACTTGAATTCCTTTGCATAAAACTTTTATAAGTTGCAGGAAGATTTCTGGAAGATTGGCCCTTGGTGGGCTAGCCACCTTTGATAGGAAAAAAAAAAACAAAAACCGAAAGCAAACCAACCATTTCTGCTGCTTGTTGCCCCAGTCTGCAAGTATCTGTTTTTGCAGGACGGTCTGAAAGCTGAGGGCATAGACAAGGACTTGTGGCCCCAACGGAAGATGAAGCCTGCCAACTATCTGACACAGTACGACCTCTCAGAGTTCGAGAACATAGGTGCTGTCGGTCTGGAGCTATGGCAGGTGACTTAGTCTAAGTTAGCTTTTCTTTAATAGCTATGGCTTGAACCTTGCTGTGTAGCCTTGAAATCATGAGCCTTTTGTCCTAGCTTCTGAGTGCTGGGATCCTAGGCGTTATGTCACTGGCTGGCTGATTTATAGGGAAATTTTCTTTTTTATTTTTATTTTATGCCCATTGATGTTTTGCCTGCATATATGTCTGTGTGAGGATGCCAGATCTTGCCGGAACTGGAGTTACAGACAGCTGTGAGCTGCCATGTGGGTACTGGGAATTGAACTTGGGTCCTCTGGAAAAGCAGCCAGTGCTCTTAACCACTGAGCCATCTGATTTATAACTGGCTGATTTATAACTTGAACTTTAACATAACCTGTTTGGTACACAAATGTGTGTGTGCGTGTATGTGGTGTGTGTATGTGTGGTGTGTGTGTGTGGGGGGGTGTTTAATGCACCCCAGCATCCCTCATCTGCCCCTCCTGCCCCCAAATACTGGAGTCGTAAGCACCTGTGCAACCATGCCTGGCTTTTCACATGGGGGCTGGAGATTTGAACTCAGGTCCTGAATGCTTTCCCAGCAAGCGTTCTGTGTACTATGTATGTACACATGTGTGTAAGTGTCCTTGGAGGCCAGAAGAGGGTGTCTGATCCTCTGGAGCTCCAGTTACAGGCTTTTGTGAGACACCTGGTGTAGACCCTATGAACTGAACTCCTCCTCAAGAATGGCAAGCACTCTTAACCTTCAACCCTCCCTTGAGTCCCAGTCTGTAATTACTTTTCACTGAGCGCTTTTGTGATTTGCAGTTGCATGTGGTCTTGAGACTCCCATTTGAAGTCTCTTCCTTTGGAGCTGACTGTCACTCTTGTCAGCTGTGGGGTATACAGTAGGGGTGGAGCCTGGGCTTCTGAGTCCCAGTTGATGCCCACTGCTCACACTTAGGAGCTAGCAATGTAAGCCAGGTCCTCCTGCATGGTAAGAGTGGGCTCTACCTTTGGGCCACCCTGAGCTTCACCTGGAATGTGGCTCCATCACAGTGACACCTGGTCATCGGTGCACTACTGAGCTAAGTAACCCTGGCCATGAGAAAGGGTGTGTCTTCCACCACCAGTAAGGGCCTTCTTCCATCCACAGGTGAGGTCTGGAACCATCTTTGATAACTTCCTGATCACAGATGATGAAGAATATGCAGAGAAGTTTGGCAAGGCCACCTGGGGGGAGACTAAGGTAGGCACAAACCACCTAGCTCACTTGTTTGAGAGAAGGATTCAGAAGTAGACCAGGCTGACCTCGAACTCAGAGATCTGCCTGCCTCTGTCTCCTGAGTGCTGGAATTAAAGGCGTGCGCCACCAAAGCCTGGTTTTCTTTTTCATCTGTACACATGAGTGCAGTGCTCCCAGAAGGCCCTAAGGCTGTGTGGGATCTCCTGGGGCTGCAGTCACACTAGTTGTGAGCTGCCTTGTGTGGGGCTGGACAATGAGCTCAGGTCTCTGGGAGAGCATTATGACTAAACCATCCCTGGAGCCCTGTTTTCTTGAGAGGGAGGGGTCTCAGTAGAGCTTTGGCTGCGGAGGAATTCACCACGCCACTTACAGAATCATCTCGTCTCTGCTTCCCAAGTGCTGGGATGACAGACGTGTGACAGCACTGTCTACCGTAGTTAGTTTTTATCTATTTAGAGACGGGGTCTCACTTGTTCCCAGATTTGCTGTCGGGAGTGGCCTTGGACTTCTGATCCCTGAGCCTGTGTGCAGGTGTACCACCATGCCCAGTTTTTCCTGTACTGGCTATTGAATTCAGTGCTAGGCAAGCATTATCAACTGGGCTATATGCACTCTACCCACGGAACTGCAAGCAGTCCACTGTATAAGCCCCGGCCCGGCCCCAGCCTGTTTTGCTTTTGTCCCTCCAGGGTCCAGAAAAGGAGATGGATGCCATACAGGCCAAGGAAGAAGTGAAAAGAGCCCGAGAGGAGGATGAGGAGCTGCTGGTGGGGAAGTTTCACAGGCACAACCATTTCAGCAGATTCCACAGGCAAGGCGAGCTGTAGTCGTCCCCACTGTGCATGCAGAGGACTGGGCCAGCCTCCCTGCTAATACACATCTGAATGATCACACGTCTGCAGGGTCATTTGTCCATGCTTGTGGTGCAGTTCCCTAGTCATCCCCAGACCCTGTGACCTCAGTACATATATCAGGAGGTGTCCCTCAGCTGCCTGTGGGACACACACCTTTAATCTCAGGACTTCAGAGGCAGAGGCAGGCAGAGATCTCTGTGAGTACCAGGTCAGCCTGGTCTACATAGCAAAGTCTAGGACAACTTGAGCCACACAGTGAGACATTGAAAAGAAAGTTTCCCTGTCCAGAACAGACCACTGGACCAGAAACCTGTAAGAATCTGGCCACAAGCAACATGCTTTTGTTTTGGAATCTCTTAAATACCTTCATGAAATAAAAGATGGTAAAATGAATTTTTAAAAATATTTTATCTTTTACTCTAAAGACATTAAAGTTTTTAAAAAATTGTGCGTTCTGTGTGTGTGTGTGTGGTTTTTTTTTTTTTTTTGGTTTTTCGAAGCAGGGTTTCTCTGTGGCTTTGGAGGCTGTCCTGGCACTAGCTCTTGTAGACCAGGCTGGCCTGGAACTCACAGAGATCCGCCTGCCTCTGCCTCCCAAGTGCTGGGATTAAAGGCGTGCCACCAACGCCTGGCCTCTGTGTTTCTATTGTGTTCTCTTGTGTCTCTGTGTTTCTATTATGTGTGTGTCTCTGTGTGTGTTTCTATTATGTGTGTCTGTGTTCTCTGTGTGTGTCTATTGTGTCTCTGTGTGTGTTTCTATTGTATCACATGCAGGTGCCCATGGAGACCAGAAGAGAGCATAGGCTCCCCTGGAGCTGGAGTTACAGGGTTGTGGGTCACCTGACATGGGTGCTGGGAACTGAACTCAGGTCCTCTGGAAGAGTAGCCAGTGCTCCTAACCATCTCACTAGCCCCCTTATTTTTCTAGCATGAGGAAAACATGTGTTTTTACACCTGGGGTTTTTCTACTGTGCTGTAAGCCTGTATATAAGCCTGCTTCCTCTTTACGGGGGGGGGGGGGGAGACAGAGACAGACAGACAGAGACAGAGAGAGAGAGAGAGAGACAGAGAGAGAGAGAGAGATCTTAGCACTTACAATAAAGACATACACACACATTCTCTGGCAATAAAGGTGGCAGACACATTCTCTTAGCACGAGTGGTTGGACGTCTTGTCTTTCATTTCCTGACACCTCGGACTTACTCGTGGCATGGGAGCCACACAGCTGGCTAAAAAACTTAGAATAGAGAAATGAGTGGAGCACGTGCTGCTCTTCCAGAGGACCTGAGTTCATTTCCCAGCACCCACACCAGGCGCCTCCAACCCCCACCCCAGGGGATCTGGTGTCCTCTTCTGGCCGGCCTCTGGAGGCACTTGCACTAGAGTGTGTGTTGTGTGTGGTGAGGCAGCTGGTCGCCAGCATCCACAGTCAGCATGCAGAGCAAATGCTGTCCAGATCGCCTTCTCCTGTCTGGTTAGTCCTGGACTCCAGCCCACGGAACTGTGGGTCTTCCCTTCACAGCCCAGTCCAGAAATTCACGATGTACACCAGAGCTTTGTGTGTGATTCTAGATCCTGTCAAGCTGGCAATCAGGATCGATCCTCACAACTAACACTAGAAATCAAACCAACTGGGAGTGAGTGTGGTGTATGCCGTTTATCCCAGTAAAGATGCTTCCACCAAGGCTAACACGGGTTCCACCTCTGGGGCTTGTGACGGAAAGGGAGACCTGACTCCTACAAGTTGTCCTCTGACTACACACCCGCACATTAAGTAATAGTACAGTAAAAATAAGTAGGGTTGGAGAGAGGGGTTAGGAGCGGTTGCTCCTTCAGAGGACCACGTGTTTCCCAGCATCCAATGGAAACTCCTGTTGCAGGGAACCCCATCTTCTGACCTCTATGGGCATCAGGCACACAGGTGATACACATCCATTCTTCCAGGCAGCACACACATAAATCTTTTAAAAATATAGTGTAATTAAAAAAAAACGCCAGGGTAGCTGAAGAGATGGTTCATTGGTTAAAGGCGCTTTTTGCTTTTCCAGAGGACCCAAACTGGTTTCCTACTCACATTGGGAGGCTCACAAATGCTCTCAACTCTATCTCAAGGGCATCTAACAACCTCTTCTCTCCTCCACAGGCACTACTAGTGTGCACATATCTGACACAGGTACACACACACATTACAAAAAACCCAAAACCAAACCTCAAATCAAAATGTCAGGCCACAGCCGGGCGTTGGTGGCGCACGCCTTTAATCCCCGCACTCGGGAGGCAGAGGCAGGCGGATCTCTGCAAACAGAGTCAGAACCCGAATCTGCAAGTCTGTTTAGCAAGCCCACAGGGCCCAACCCAAGCTGAACTTGGGTGCCACGGTACTTCGGTCTGTGTCGGAGATTAAGACGATGCCTGCGTTTAGCGAACCTCAGAGACACCGACCCAGATGGGGAGGCGCACACAGGGCTGGGAACAGGGGAAGTCTAGAGCGTCCCCAGCAGCGACCTCCAGCTGCAGGGAGCCGGAGGCCCTACAGCCCGCTGGAGCCCTTCAGAACCTGCTCACGCCACTCCCTGGGCTTGTTCCGCCCACTCAATCAGAGTATGCAGAAGGCCCCGCCCACTTCAGGCTCCTGTGCGTCTGATGCCCCGCCCCTGGTCCCCGCCCCCCGGTCGGCTCCAGAAGACTGAGGTCGAGGCCCCACCTCTCGCAGACAAAGTGCCCTAGGCTCCGCCCTCGATACGCCCCACCATCTTGTCACGCCTCGCCCCGAGCCGGAATCCCCCCGCCCCCTCGGGCAGAGTCAGTTCAAGGCCCCGCCCCTCTACTGCAAAAGCGCGCACGTGAGACTCTGGATTCCCATCTGCGCATGTGTACTCTGGTACCCTAGCCTCAGGCCTGTCATCGCGCTGGCCCGGCTGCGTGCGCATCGCTTCCCTCCTTCGTCCTAGTGCGCACGCACAGCTCCGCCCCCGCCCCTTCGGCGCTCGGGAGGCCGAGTCCGCACGAAGATGGCGGCGCCGCTCGTCCCCCTCTCGCAGCAGGTATGGTGCTGGGGCGCGCAGCGGGGCGGTGCGGGCGGCGAGTGCCGCGGAAAGGGCGAGGCGTCGCGGAAACGCGGCTTCAGGGAACGGCGGAGGCGCGCGCCGAGGGCTCGGGCGGCGGAGCGGCGGGGCCCGGGCGGCCCTGAAGGTGACAGGCCGGCGCGGCCCGCGGACTCTCGCGCCCGGCGACCCTCCGAGAGGCTGCGAAGGGGTGACGGGGCGCGGCCGCCGCGCGCGGCCGCCCCGGCTGACGTCCGGCCGGCTGTCGGGGGCCCGCGAGCCGCGTCGCGCTTCGTCTCCGCGGAGGTGGGCGAGGGCGGTGGGCCCAGTCGCCAGCCTTTGTCTCCCGCGGGGTCGGACATCGGGGCGGATGGCGTCCCTGCGTGGAGCCGCGCGGAGATCCGGGACGCGCCCGCAGCGCCTCCCGCCGCCCGGCCCTCCTTCCCCGGGGAGCTGCTTCCGCCGCCCCTGCGAGGTGCGAAGAGCGCGGATCCCACGCCCCCCACGGTGGGCGTTAATCTGCGCATCAGTAAGAATATCAGACGCCACAGGGACGTGCAGAAAAGCCACGAGAGGACCTCTGTGCTTCTAGGCAGAGACATTCATTCATTCTTCGTCCCTCGCTAACGTGCGTGGGGTCAGGTGCTGGGAGCGCAGCGTCTCCCACCGACAAGGTCGTTGGTCTTCTGGAGGGGACACCCATAAAAATGAGAAAGTACGCCTGTCTTGCTAATTTGCCAAACTACCCGTATGTCCCCAGAGCATATTATAAGCAGTTTGCTAGAATTATCTTGCACGGGGGCATGGTTGCCAGTGAGGAAGCACCTTATGTTCGGATCTTGGTCCCAGCTCTTCCTCTTCCCAGTGTCCTTGAAGCAAGCTTCTTAGACACCACACACATCAATGACCTCATTTGGAAAACAGAGCTATACAATGCATTAGCAGAAGACGAAGAACATTTTGCCCTATGAATTTGAAGCTCTTTTGTTACCATCATTAAATTTGGATGTTTGAGACTAGAGATCACTGCCAGTATGAATGCCAAAGCCGGTAGGGACTGATAGGCAGGTTGGTGCAGCAGGCTCACCTGGTCCGGAGGAGAAAGAAATACAGGAGTGTAAATCCTACAAGAACCAACCACTCAGCAGCCCTGTCAGTAAATTAACAGTGTGGAGACCAGTGGTCATTAATTAACATGTTCTTACAGCACCTGTGCATAGATAAGGACCAGGCAGATGTGAGGGATGTGTTGAGATGGAGCCTTGCTATGTCCCCAGGCTGGCTTCCAGGTCGTTGGACTGCAGGTGTGTGGCCATGCCTGGACACAAGCTGTCATTAGTAGCAGGTACTACAGTGTAGGCTCAGGAGGGATGCCTCAGCTAAGGACACGGGCTCCTGGCTGTGCTTTCCTGATACAAGTGTGTGTGTGTGTGTGTGTGTGTGTGTGTGTGTGTGCGCGCGTGCTGCGCTCCCTCCTGTATGCAGAGACAGAGAACAACCTTGGGTGTCCACCTCTCTTGACAGGGTCTCATTGGCCTGGAGTTCATCAGCTAGGGCACCCTGTCTAGACAGCAAACCGGTCGCCACCTCCCCAGCACTTAGATTACAAGAGCACACCACCGTGTGGCACTTGCGTGAACTCTGGGGATAGAGCACGGATCAGGGCAAGCATGTTACTAGCTGTGCTATCTCTAGCTCAGGCACTACCTCTGGCTTTTGGAGGAAGGTCTTTTCAAACTTTCTAATTTTGACATTAGCCATAATTTGGATTTTTTTTCACATTTGGGCCATGGTAGTAGCTTAGCTGGTGGTTATTGAGTGCATGCTGTCAATTTTTCCAAAACACCAGAATATCAAGGAGGTTCCTGGCCAAGAAGCATGGTGTTGACTCCCAGCTTGCACCCCAGAAACAGAAAGTTCTAAGCTAGCCTGGACCCTGTGTGTGTGTGGGGTCCCTGTTTTCCCGATAAAATAGTTGCAGGGTAGGATGGTGTTTTTGTCACAGTGAGGTGATTGATGTGAGAACATGAGTCAGTTCCTGAGATTCACTTTCTTAGAACCTTCTGGAATAGAATCCTGATTCTCTCCTCCCAGATGTGCACCAGCTTCTGACTTGCCTGCCACATGCTCTCCTTGGCACCACATGTGGCCAGTTTTCTGCTCCTTGCATAGTCCAGTCCCTGAGGGCTATTCCTTCTTCCTGAAGCACTCTAACCTTGCATTCCTCCCTTCCTTGAGTGGCAGCTCAGATGTCATCTTTCCCAGAGGCCTTTTTTAGTCATGGCACACAGCAATGTGTGCCTCACAGGACCCCACCACCTTCTTGTCTGCTTGCTGTCTCTGTGTTAGACCTGTCACCTGTGGGGAGGACAGGCTACTCGCTCGGTGCCCAGCACCCAGGCAGTGTCACCCAAGTGGGTAGCAGGGACTGTGACTGCAGCAGTTTCCGCATGGCTTTTCTTCCCTGTGGGACGGGCTGAATCAGCAGTGAGGAGCTGGCGGCCTGCTGTGGATCACAAGTTCAGGCCAAGCCTTCTAAGCTGCTCGCCCACCATGCTTGTATTTCTGTGGTGATTATTTTATTGTTTTTTGTACTTATTTAGTTTGCGGTGTGTGTATATGTGTGTGGGCGTGTGTGCCATGGTGCCCGAAGCGGTCCTGCATTGATTCTCTGTGTGAGTCCAGAGTCTTGCTGGTTGCCCAGGCTGACCCCAAACTTGTGGTAATTCTGCCTCAGCCTCTGCAGGACTGTGATCACAGATACCTGACTGCTCCCTAGCCCCTTGCTAGCAGCATGCCTGGTCCACGCTCCCTTGCCTGCTCCTATAGGGGCAGTATGCTGAGGATTGAGTCCAGGGTTTTACACGCACTAGGCACTTACTGAATAGTCAGAATACAACTTAGGAGATGGTTCTCTACTTCCACCGTATGGGCCCTAGACATCAAACTCAGGTCATCAGGTTTGGTGACAAGCGTCCTTACTTACTGAACCATCTCGGTGACCAAGTTGTCCAAACTGGCTTTGAATTCATGGCAGTTCTCATGCCTCACCCTGCTAAGTGCTGGGGTTACAGTGTGAGCCCCCTGCTCAGCCTCTGTACCTGCCTTTTCTCCCTTTTGATTTATTTACACATATGTATGTGTGGGAGTGTGCCTGAGATACGTGTACCTCGTGTGAGCAGGTGCCCTCGGAGGCAAGAGGGTGTCAGCTCTCCTCGACTGGAGTTACAGGCTTGATGCTGGTGCTGGGAACTGAACCTAGTGTTACGATAAAGTGCTAGGGGGCCTTGCGTGGGAGACCTTGGCAGGCAAGGTTGACCGAGGCAGAGGACAAACACGCTAGGCAGACAGAGCTTAAATGAGAAGTTTTATTAGAAGGGGAGGGAAGGAGAAGGAAAGAGAAAAGAGACACAGAGACAGAGAGGACAGAGAAGAGGGAGACAGGAAAGTCCTGTCTGCCCCAGGGGAACCTCAGGAAGTGATTAGGATAGAGAGCTTATGTGTGTGGGGGGGGGTCTTTCTTTTAAAAGGGTCCTTTGCACCTGCGTGCAGACTGCGCACTCATGGAGCCCTGGGCTGACCAGGGCACTGCCTGAGTGCATTCTGCCAGGTGACAGGGGCAGGCCAGCAGAATGCCTGAATCCTTACACCTGGGTCCTCTGTAGGAGCAGTAAGTTCTCTTGAAGGCTAAACCATCTTTCTAGCCCTCTGCCTGCCCTTAAAGCTCAGACACAGGTGTTACTGTCACCCAGGTGTGAGCCCAGGCCCTTGGATACCATGGGCGACTGAGGTGCTCTGAACAGAAGGGTTTGACTTTGACGTGGTTGCGCTTCCGGCCACAGGGCCAGCAGGAGTTGACTGCTCCTTCTCTGCCAGCCCCAGGAGATGTCCCTGTTATCCTCTGCGTCCTTCTCTTCAGTAGCACCCTGGCCGGCAGGCCTGCCGTTCTGCCTCCACCTCTCAGAGCGGGTTGCACACGAGTGCCAGCAAACCCAGCCTCGACTCTCTCCCTGACCCCAGGGACCCCTCCTGCTCTTTTCAGAGGAGCTGGGACAGAGCCTCAGCCTCCTCCTCTGTCCGCTCAGCTTCCTCCTGTCTGGTCAGGGCTTTTGACTTCCTCCTCTCTCTGCCCACCTCCTTTCTCTCTGCTCTCGGGTTCCAGCCTCCATGCTCAGCACTCTAAACCTGCCTCTCGTGGATGTTCCTGACACTTGGTTCCCTGCCCTCTGGGGCCTGCTGGGCTCTGAAATAGGCCACTTCCTGAGCCTTGCAATTCTCTAGGGAGTCCCGTGGGTCCCGTTGCTATTGCACCCTAATGGGTCTCGTTTCCTCCTTTTCTTCTACTGCCTTGCTCCAGAACCTTCCATGGCTCTCATTCTCTTGGCAAAGAGTTAGGGATGTAGCTCACTGGTAAAGTGCCTGCCCTCTCAGAGTGAGTCTGGGCTGGCGAGCCAGCTCCCCAGTCCCGCTCTGCTCCTCTCTGGCCCCTTGGCCTTGTTGACTAGCCTTGGTCTTCCAGTCTCATGGCCTGACCCTTGTCTTCCACTCGCCAACAGGCTTTGTTGCTCCTGGTGCTGTGGTGGCCCGGGGAGACTTCCCTTTCACCCTCCTGGACCCGAGATTCCTTTCTGCCCGGTACCTCCTGTGGGTCCCCTGTTGATGGTATTGGTCCTCATACTGAAGGTGCCCTAGGCTAGAGGAAAGAAAGTACCTGGTCTCTCGTCCTCCAGGGGACTTGGGGACACTTTCTTGAACCTCATGCCATGGTTGCAGGTTTTGAATGTTTCTGGTGCTGCGGATGAAACCCAGGCCCTTGTACGTGCTGGGTGGAGCTTTACTGGCAAGCTGTGCTCCAGCCCCTCTGGAAAGACTGTTTATTGCATGGGAAGAAGCTGAGACCCACAATTGTCAGGTGACTTGTGGAGTCCCATAGCCGTGGGTGCCACATTGGAGTTGAACCACAGCTACCTACTGAGGAGGTGCCCCAACCCCATTCTTTC